TTTTGCTGCCGATCACCGATACCGATATCAAAGAATGCTGATCACCGATACCGATCACGTGGATTGGCCAGAAATTTTCTGCAACATTATAATGAGTGCTACAAACTACATAATCTGGGAATAAAGGAAATGTAACCTAATCTAAAATGGTCTGTATTAGGGTTGTCACGGTGTGAAAATTTAACCTCACGGTTATTGTGACCAAAATTACCACGGTTTTCGGTATTATCGCGGTATTTTTTTTAAACGTGCTACATTTTTACACAATTAAACAAACCCTGTATGTCAGGAAATATTGTCCTCAGTTTGTCTAAATTTTGCCTAAAATATGTTATTTTGTAATTATGTTGTTTGTTTACTTTTTTCCCCTTTAGTCTTTAAAATACCAATATTTGCCCATAACTTCTTATTTTATGTCTGTTTGATGTCATCATTTTAAAAATATTAGATCAGATGACACTCATTACTCAAGTAGCCTTCTAATCAGATACTTTTTTACCCTTACTTGAGTAATAAACCCTATATCAGGAAAATATTGTCCTCGGTTTGTGTCCTTCCAGTGAGCTTTGAAAATGTGGGAAAATGTCATCAGGCAGTAATCATTGTTAAATTCATAATTAGTCTCGGAGAGAGACCAACTCTTATCTGCCCCTGGGAGCTCCGTAATGCATAGCGTCATTTCAATATGGGGGTGTCCGCGACACGGTTTATATGCAGGTAGCGGCGCTGCGGCTGCTTTATATAGCGACTCGTTGCTTTCTCCCTCAACCCAAATCCTCCTGGATGATGAAGCTCAATTGTTAAAGGAATCACTGAAGCGGTGTGAAGCCCTCCGTCGCGCGTCTAGGCGGTACCGTAGGAGGCGAGCTGCCGTGGTTCGCCGCATGCTACAGCAGCGAGCTATCTAGGTGCGCACAGTGTCCCCCGGTCCCCTCCTCCTCCCCCTCCCCCTTGTCCAGAACTCTACCTCACCAGTCTGAAGCAGCCACCCTGTCCGTAACAAGTCCGAACCTGTTACTAGGGGGCTTCGTCCGGTTAAATTCCGGAACACGTTATCCGGATGTTTGTATGCAGACACAAAGGTCTTACGGACAGAGTCCGGAACATTTCCGTTTTTCATGGCCTGTCTGAAGGGGGCTTAAGAGACGAATGTTGCTGTAAAACAGTTTTTCTGAAGAAAATATTACATTATAGTTTGAATGATGTAAGCATAAAAAAACTGCAGCAGAAGTAAGTATCTCACAGAAAACAGATCACCCGATCAAATTATTTCTGTCCTATTTCTGCTGCATGGGGGTTTTTCTCTGGGTGCTCCAGTTCACCCCCAATCTAAAATCTTGACCCATTACACTGACGGATCTGCTCAGCATTCAAACAGCATTCGTGCAAGAAACGCATTCGAATAGAATAGAATAGAATAGAATAGAATAGAATAGAATAGAATAGAATAGAATAGAATAAAAATCGCCCTGTCAGGAAAATTTGATGTCAAAACAATTACAGTTACATGGGCAAAATATGAGAGTTGGTAGGAATTAAAAATTAAAGAGTAAAAATACAATAAAACATAACACAGAAATATATATCTAAATATATGTATATATGTATATAGATTTATATGTATACCGTAAATCCTCTAATATTAGCCTGTATTTAATTAACTGCCGGGTATCATGTTTTGGCTGGTGTCGGTGTCACGCTGCCTTCCTCTCAGCCCTTGACATCCTCCCCCGGAGGAACCCACACCCATTCAGCCCACACTCTTAAAATTTTCACCGTGAATTCACAATAATTTACTGGATAAATTTTGCCGTACTTTTGCCGTGCTTTCACAGTAAAATACTGTTACATGCACTCACAGCAATTTACTGTAATTTTGTTGCTGTGATATTATAATGTACTGCTGTAAAATCACAATTGTACACTGCAACTTTACAGCTTTAATGACAAAGCATTTACTGTTTTATTACAGTACATTCCTGGGGAATTACAATCTTTTGCTGTTCATTACAACAAGGCCCTGTACTTTTACAGTATGTACTATTTACAAATTCACAATGATTTACTGTGAATTTACAATGTATGAAAATTAAAAAAAAAATCCAGTAATGTACTGTAATAAGTAATCCAGTAATAAGTAATCCTGAGGTTCCATTAGCTTTAAATGTACTACCGTTGCACAAATACAACCCCGTCGCCAAAGTAAAGTCAGTGTTAATCCAATGGCATATTTATAGAAATTTTATTCAACATATTTTATACAGCCAAGAATTCAAGATTAATCTTTCAAGTTGTAAAATTAAAATGAGGAAAAACACTGAGAAAAGGGAATGAGGCCCTCACAACAACACGAGAGGAAAGGAGACAGTGAAGAAGGGAATGGGGTCAGGCGCTCCTTAGTCTTTAACATTATGGGCAATAGAACAGGAAAACATTTAACGTAAACTTATCTAAAAAAAAAAAACGAACACTGAAGAACTGAGCCTGAGTACTGCTGCAAAAATCTATGATGTCCACTCAAAATCAATGAGCTTCCTAAAAAAAGTGCTCACACGAGGGTTGATTGCTGTTCGCTTCTTGGTCTTTGACCCTCTCTCAGGGTTGATTCCCAGGAAGCACCTGTTAAAAAAGCAAAGATAGTTTCAGTTGATATGAGATTAATGACTCTGGTTCACCCTCCAAAACATTAATTGGTGAAAAATGCATCTTTTTATGTTGAGTGCCACCCGCCAAATAACACACAAGAAAAGGAAGAAGAGTGTTGTTGCACAGTTTTCAAAGGAGTCAAAAACCTCCAGCAAAACCATAAATACAGCAAAATAAACATACAATCCAACATGGCGTCCTCCAGAGAGTCGGACCCTCGCGTGTGTATTTTATACCTGATTTTTATGGTTATTTGTCACAAAGTTGCTGGTATTTTTCAATGAATGGGCTTCATTTGATTCATTTTGCAAAACATTTCAACGTATATTTCCAGAAATTAATGACAAATACTACACACTGTCACTTTAAATGTGATCTTTATAAAATACCTTTGAATGAACTCCAGTGTTAACGATCCAGTGGCAGGATACTCGATGTTGAAGACGTAATAGCAGCTCAACAATGCAGCTACACCATGTAAAAAGAACGGGTGTGGGCCCATCATGACCTGTCCCTCGATGGATATCAGCCATCCAGAGGGCTTCATCATGTCACCTGAAATGAAAAGACTGATATGAGCATTTTTTTCTACTTCAGCTACAAAATTCATCTAGATTTCAAGAATGAAACAAGTTATATCAAGACAGAAATGTCAATATTGGATCAAAGTAATATTACCTTGAATGATCAAGCAGGGGCTGGTGGGAAGTTCTGCAGAACTTATGTCCACGGCAGTGGCACATGGCTGTAACATAATCACACAGCAGCATAGATTTAGGATAGAGTATAAATATTCCTCATTGGTCAAAGTTAATAAATCGTACAGTTGATAATGTAATCATTCAATTTGCATTTTAAATTTTTTAATACAAAATCTTACATCAACTTCAAGCACCAAACATTCTTTTGGCTCTTTGAAGTACAACATTAGGACCAGCAGGATGGAGGCAGCCTTATCAGAGTCTTGAGCGTAGTTGACAATAACTTCATTGATGTTGGGATGGTCCAGTGTTGAACAGTAATCCAGGATGGTCTGTCCTCGTTGACTTATTGCCGCCTGTAGTTTCTGAAGGACGTTGATGTCCGTCAAAAGAGCAAAATGTGAGAATAGGCTTTTCTGAGAGAAGAGAAAGGGCCACTCCTCTTTGATGTCAGACATTGCTGCAGCAGGCATTTTGTTAAGGTATTGCCGGAGGATGACATATGTCTTTTCCATCATTGGTTCTGCTCTCTCCGCCCCTTTCATTCCTTCCTCTGTGTATACAGACAATAAAAATGTATTGTTAGTACCAAAGTAACAATTTGGTCTTGTTAGCTGCCGAACACACAGTTTTTAGATCTTGACCAATGAAAAAACTCCAAACAAAATAACCCAAAACAACAGTAGAAAGCCTGCCTGAGTAGATGTTCAGTAGATCCCTCTTCATCTTCATCAACGATGCCTCGGTCTCCCCCTCTGGGAAATCCACTGGGCCCCACCTGACACACCTAAGAAGGGGAATCACAGGGTAACACTACTATTAGGGACAGTTATAGCCCAGAAGTTGGAGCAATGACTAAAGGGTCCGTTTGACTCCCAGTTGTGACTGCATTAACAGACTTATGTCACAGAAGTTATGTTACAGTGTAGAAGTGTTGTAAACACTGATGTTGTTTATCCAAATAAAGCTGCAGTCCACAGTGTTTGTGTATATATTAAAGATACCTAAATCTTTCAAAAGATATTTCTCTTCAAAATTATGATAGTTTTTTTCTACCCCACAACATTCGTTATTCTTCCTAGTTCCTCCTTCCTGCTATTTGAACATTCCTACTGACCGCCAAATTTTTTTGCCAACAGAATTGGAGCTTCCACCTTGTAGGCACGGGTGGCCTAAGTCACGCTCTTCTAAAAATGAGTCAAAGGAACCACTTAGCTGTGATTGGCTAAAGACAAACCATTGTAGCAAGTAGATGGACATTCGAGGGGTCCTCCAATCCGCTCAATGTTTCCTACCAGATGGCCCCCCCTCCTTCCCAACGCTGTTTGCAGCAGAGGTTCCAGATCAAAACGTGGAAACTCGACACGGGGTGGGGCAACACATACATTTAGCTGCTGCTGGGTTAGCGGTCTTTACAACACTTTTAAAATTGGCTCATGCTTGCTGGAAAAAGGTCTAAGTTAATGTCAATAAAATTTGTTTTGTTCCGTTTCTGGCTTATTCATGGTCATATACAATGCTTTTGATAAAATGTTAACAGATATTACATGTATATTGCCACATACCCGTACTGGTCAACAGGACCTCTCTCTTGTCTGATCTCTCCTGCGATTCCTGTGAAGCGTTTTCTGCGGTGTCGAAGAAGAGTTTTGGTTCTGTTGTGGTACTCCACTCTTGTTTTCACTTGCTGTAGTAGAGAATAGCAGCCATCTCCTGTAGTATCACCATACTTTCCAATGTCAGCAAATGACTTTGGATGTCTCCTAAAAATGTGTGGGATTAATAGACAATTAGAAAGTAAGTAGTCAAGTAGAAAATATTGCACTATTGTTACACAACAGACATTTACAACTCATGTACTTGAAGAACCAAGTTTAACCTTCGTGTATCCTGCCATGCGCTTTAGCACACTTGATATTTCAAGTAAGAAAAAAAAAACAATGTATTCCTTCCAATTTACATTTAAAATTTTCAGAAGGTGCTAATTCTTTCCCTGATCATCCCATCCTTACCTGACAATGTTTCTCACAACGTTGTAGCACATGGCTCTGGATGGGTTTTGGTCGTGCTGCATCATTTGGTCCACAAGCGCAACCACGAAGGCCCTTCTTTCGTCTGGTAATGGTCTTTGTTGTTTTTCCACTCTACGTCGAACAGCTGATGACATCTGGTCCAAGTTGAGATGAAAGTCAACATGCCATGGTACCCCTGGCTGTGAGGCGTGTTTGGAGGGCTGGACAACAGGCGCCAACTAATCAGAGTGCCTTTCACTCTGTAGTTACTTTATCACACATATCTTGAATGGACTGCAGAGCAAGAGGAAACCATAGCCAAGGATTAGATAAGTATTCCTTCATTGTCCCACAGTTAGGAAATTTGTGTATGAAAGTATGAGCAGTTGAGTAGCAGAAGCAGTTAAAGAACAATAAAACAAGTATTTAAGAAAAGAAAGCACTCGGGTATATCTGGGAGTAGTATCTAAATAGGTTGAGAATTCCAGATGAATGTGGCGGCAACAGTGAAAATGTGGATGATAAATAGTGGAAATAGCAGCAGTGATCTCGAAGTCGGTAGTTACAAACACAAATACACCAATCTGTGTAAAATAACAGAGGGATTATTCAGTTATGATTAAACGAGGTGAGTCAGTAATAATCAAAGTGAGTCTGATGTGCATAATATATTAGTCATTCATTGTGCAGATATGACAGCTGGATTATTAATTATAGTGTGCAAAAATGACAGTACATTGGTTATACTTGCAATCAAATCAAATAAGATAATGAGTACAGTCAAAGTTCACACCCTGACAGAGATTTCTAAGGATGAGTGAGTACAGCATTATCTGTATCTGTTAACCATATTAATTATCTGTATCTTATACATATCTTATACATGTGCAAAATGAATGCACAGCAATTAATTATTTTTCTGCAATGAGATTCAACAGCGTTGGCTCCGTCAAAGCTTGATACTTTTCAAGCTTCAACGTTCAGCTGCGTCGCTTTACAAGCAGCAACCAATCAGAGCGCCTGTTGTTGTCATATCACTACTACGAGCCAGATTCCATGAAAAAAAAACAAGCATTTAAGAATTTCAGCCATAGAGCATAAACTTATCGTCATATTCAATCACCGCGAACCGTATGGCCCCTCCTGTCATGCCTAAACAGATCGGCATAACTAGGACTTCGTTTGGAAAAAGATTGGTGAAGAACTCTGCGTGTTGGATAAGTTTAGAGAGCCCCTCCCGCGCTCTTTCCCCCCTGCAGCAGGGGGGGTTCCTGAGGCAGCAGCCAACGGTTACGGCAGACGTTACAAGGGCCAAAGTAAAAAAAATATAGGGCTTCAAGCGCGCTGTTTGACGTATACGTTATGGCCAGTGTGAACGCAGCATTAATTGGCAATATCTTTGAGCGTTTTTGCATACAAAAGTGGAGCGCAACACGTCAGAAGTGCTCCAAGCTGCACCCGCTCCGCTCTGCGGTAAATCATGGGTCTGACATCGCTTTGCCTCACGGCACATCATGTTTCATTTGTCAACCCCCCATTGTTTCCATCAACAATAGATAGCCGCGCCTCCCCCCCCCCCCCCCCCCTTAAAAAACGTTCCTGAGCTGGTAGACCAACTTCCACATGCAGCCTTCGATGCAACATTTTTAAAGACAATATATATGATCTGCGGCATGCAATAAACGTTCAACAAAAAGTAAATATCATTGTAAAAACAAAGTTGCTCACCTTCTTCACCGGCGGAGAAAGGGAAAGAGGGATTTCGCGCCTTCAGTTCAAATTAGTAGTTCGGTTAGAGGAAGTCTCCTCCCCTTCCAGTCTGCCCGTGGATCCGCCGGACGGAAAAAAGCAATAATTTTCAGGAACGTTTAATGCTCCAACATTTGTCCAGAAAAGGCAACTCAAGAGTTGTAGTCCACTACAAAATGTAAAATAACTTTTACCACCTAACAAAAATCAGCTCATCTTTGAACTTTTATGTCTTTAAATTTCATGAACATTATATGTTACATCCGTCATTCATTGTTCTGGCAGTATATAGGCTGCCTGTGTCACGTGACTTCCAAGTCAATATTTTACTGTAATGTTACAGTTTGATGGTGTGAAATCAGTGCACTTTTTACAGTTTTGCTGTGAAAATAAAATTCCTGGTTGTAATATTACAGATGGTTTTACATGGCAAGATTATACTGTAAAATAGGAGTTAAATGCTGTAAAATCCAAGGATATTTTATTTTTACATTAATTCAATGGGTTATTACAGGGAAACTTAATTACAATAAATTACTGTAAAATATTACTTTAAATTAATGTGAAATGCTGGTAATTTCTAACAGTGCAGTCAAACTCCACTACCCAGCATTCCCAGCGCCAGCCTTCCGGCTCACGTCACCCGCCACCCTCCAAATATACCCACATCACCCCACTTCTCCTCCGGCTTCACTGGCTGCCAGTCAACTTCAGGGTTCATTTCAAGATCCTGGTTCTGGTCTATAGGGCCTTACATGGACAAGCACCATCTTACATTGGTGATCTTCTTAGTCCCTACACCCTCAGCAGGTCCCTGAGGTCCAGTGATCAAAGCCAACTGATTGTGCAGCGCACCAGGCTAAAGACCAAAGGTGACCGATCATTTGCTGCTGTGGCCCCCAGACTCTGGAACTCTCTCCCCCTGAGCCTGAGATCAGTGGACTCAGTGGTCTCCTTCAAAAAGCAGCTGAAGACTCACTTGTTCAAGCTGGCTTTTGTATGACCTTCATCACTGCTCTCTCTTTATTCTGCTCTCCCCACCGATTCCACCTTCCTCGGGATCCACTGATTTCCCTCTTTCCTATTCACTCTCTCTCTTTCTTTCTTTTAAATTGCAATTGCTTATTCTTGCTCATTTTAAATATATATTTTTAAGCATTTTCGAAATGCTTTTTTATATTTTTACATTTTTTATATTTTTTGTTTTTGTTTTTGTGAAGCGCCTCGTGATTTTTATCTTGAGAGGCGCTATAGAAATGATATTTTCTTCTTCTTCTTCTTCTTCTTCTTCACGTCTACATAAGGAAGTGCAGCGTAACACCAAATCACTCAGTCATCGATCCTAACCAGACTATGTTCCGAGTCCTTACCGAATCCTACCGGATTACTCTAACCAGTTCTGACCAGACCAGCCCAAGCTACTCACCCTGCCGACTCATAGTAAGTCAGCTTGTTTCCTTTTGGAGCTGCCGTGCTCACTAACCTTGTACGGTTTGGCTCCTAGAGCAAACGCGTGTCTATCTGCCCGGCGTCAGTCACTCCGCGCTTGGGTCATAAATACACGCTACAATCCAAACTCTCGCTCCGGTCCCGCTCAGCTCGAGTCAGGCCTAACAGGATGACTGAGTCCAACATTGACCCAGCGGAGTTTGAGGCCCTGCAATCGCAGGTGGCCCAAATGGGAGCTTCTCTGGGACGCCTAGCTGATAAAGTGGAGTCCATCGCCACAGTGGTTCTCCAGCTTTCAGCTGCGCAGCAGCAGCAGCGAACCTCCAGAGAATGGGAGGAACCGATACTTAGCATCCCGGAGAAGTGGGATGGATCGCACGGCTCCCCTGAAGGCATGTTAGCCACACTCGCCATGACCTTCGATTGTCAGCCCCACCGCTATGCCACAGCCCGCTCCCGTGTGGCGCTGCTCACCTCCCTCCTCACCGGCCGAGCTCAGGAGTGGGCCGCAGCCCTGTATAATAAGAAGTCGGAGGCCTGCAACGATTATGACATTTTACAGGCCTAACTAAGGAAGGCTTTTGTTCCCCCCAGCGGCGAGTTGTCAGCGGAGGCCCAACTCCTCCAGCTTCGACATGGAAATCAGACTGTGGCCCAGTACACGTCTCGTTTCTGT